AATAAAAAGATTAAATTTAAAATTTTTATTTTTGTTAATTTTTTAATCAACTATTTATCAAAACTGTTTCAAATTTTGATATTATATAAAAAATATCTTTTACTATAATATAAAAAAATTTTATCAAATTTGAATCAATAGATATTAAAATATTAAAAAAAATACAGACACATACTAAATTTTTTAAAACTCTAAAAATAAAATTAAATAACTTGCTAATTATGCAAGTATATAATTTAAAAATAATATCACATGATCACAAAGAGATATAGATTTAGATAAATAAATAAAAGCCAAAATTAATTAGTAAGTTTTTGAGTTATAAGCCAAGTCCTTAAGTGTGAAATTATTTTTGTCACCCTCCTGTAGATGACTTCAATATAGAAATAGAAATGAAAACATATAAAGAATATATAAAAAAAGATAAAGCCAAAGTTAGAAAAAACAAAAAGAAACAAATTATAGATCTTTTAATAAAGAAAAATTTTAAAAATATATTATAATTAACCAATTCTAACAAATATATAACAACTTGGCTAGTAGAGGAGCAGAAACAAAAATAGACTATATATGAGTTTCAAAAAGCTAGAAAAAAAACATCATTGCAGACAAAATATATAAAACAGATCTAATTACAGCAAGTAACTACAAGATACTTATAGCCAAAATAGAAACTGGTCTTAACAAAGAAAATATCTCAAGCAAAACTATAGAAAAAAGAAAATAAAAAAGTCAGTATAGATCTTAAACAAGCTTTAGAAGAAGATTGAAAAAAATATAAAGAAAGGCTTAAAAAGAAAACTCAAAAGAATCTTAAAAGCAAATTTAAACAAACTATTTTAAAGAGTATTCTTATGGCAAATTTAGTTAACAAAAATATTCCAAAAAGCAAGAAAGCCTCAAAAATAATAAACTTAGATGAATTTTAGAAAAAAATTGTTCAATATATTCAAATAGCAGCAGGAGTAACCTTATTTAAAAAAATATATATATCTAAGCTTTCAAATCTATAGCCTGAAAATAATGACTTGCTAGAAATTAAATCAAAAATCAAAATAACTAGAAAATGGTATCAAAAATTGAAAAAAAATAAACAAAATATAACTGAAAAAGAAAACAAACTTAAAGAAATTGGGAAAGAAGTAGCAAACTGGCTAACAAAACTAAAAACTAAGTATAAAGAAGTTGATACAACTTCAAATCTAGAAGAGGAAAATATAAATGAAGAAAAAGAATTTGAATATAAAAAAGAGCTCAAAACATGGTAAAAAATTCTTTACAAGGCCTGGCAATTAAGAAAAGTACAAATAGAAGAAAAAGTAATAAAAGAGCAAATAGAAAAAAGAATTGTAATGATAGTAAATAATCAAAGAAAAATAATAAATAGCCTGCTTGAAAAGCTATACAACAAATTGCAATTAAATAAAGTTCTAGTAAATCTAGAAGATAGAGATGAAAACCTAATCTATAAACCTCAAAAAGTGCTTGAAACAGTAAAAATCTACTTTGAAAACCAATTTTACAAAAGAAACTTCAAAGCAAACAACCTTCTACCTTTTTAAAAACAAATAAATAAACTGCTCAATAATATACAAGAGAATTGGTATGAAGAAATTTTAGCTAAGATATCTTTAGAAGAGTGGAACCAGGCACTGAGTCAAATCAAAAACACATTAGCACCAAAAGCAACAGATATTGCATATCCTCTTCTTAAAAATATAGAAAAAAGCATAAAAGAAATTTTTATTAGTTTTGTTTTAACTTGTATAAAAACAAACAGAATCCCCAAAAAATATAAAATTGGAATGCTCTATCTGACTCCAAAACATAAAGAATGAGGCTATAAACTAAATAATATCAGACCAATCCTACTACTAAAAGCTTTTTATAAAACTATGATTAGAATACTAAAAAACAGATTTAGCAGATTCTCAAAACAAAAGAAATTCTAAAAGAACAGAACTCTACAGGCCTATTAGAAGAAAGAATAGCCACACTTATACATTTTTTAAACTATATTCTAGAAGATACAAAAGAAAAAAAAAAGAAATCTGGCTACTATTCTAGGATATAAAAAAAGCCTTTGATTCAGTGAGTCTAGATATACAGTCAACTTTCTTTAAACTAAATCTGGATAAACTAAACACTTAATAAACTCTGTAAAACTAAATATAAAGCTTCAGAACATTTGTAAAATTTATTATTTAGTTCAGATTAGCATTATACAGTCATACCTGAGTTATATCTCTACTGGGTTATATTCCAATCTGAGTTATATCCCTATTTTTTAACAGAACAAATTTTCTATATTGATTTTATCTAATTTATATCTCATTTTATATTATACTTGAGTAATTACCCTATCCCCAGTAGCTTTACAGCTCAAATAGTAATCATTCCACCTAACTTATATTCTAGATAAAATATATAAATAACAATACTATCTAAATAAGAATTAATAGTAATTATAAAACAATTGCCAATGTTTTTATTAGCTAAACTAAGTTAATAAAATTGTTAGCTTAGCTTGACTAGACTGTATTTTATATAT